ATCCTTCCATTCTCCACCATTCAATCAGAATTGAAGAAGCTTCCTGGATGAGAAGCAAAACGTCTTCAAGGAAAAACAAAGAAAGTCCAGTTGCCTTTTGGAAAAGCATCCTTGGGCAATCATGACCTGGATGACAGAGAATGTCCATAGATACCTTTTTCCTTTTCTTCATAGAGTGGTGACCTTTCTTTTCATCTTCTGCAGGGACAGGTTCATCCTCTGGTATAAGGGTGTATTTTGTCCCTCCTGGCTGCATGAAGCAATCTTTGGCGAAATGACCTACAACAAATGAATTATATAGAAACATAAAATAAGGCAACCTTTATAGATTACTCTTCTCTATTTCCTCAAGATTTATACAGAACTTCTAGATGCTATTTATACCTAAGTGCTTAAGTCTCATTACATTTATGTTCTCCAATTTTGAGGAAAAAGGCATATATTATCACCATATGGAATAAAAATACTGTAGGCCCACAAATAAAGTTATATTTCCTTCATTTCTCAACTTCTTTCAAACCCCTATCTTCTCTGAAAATGAACAATAAATGAACAAAATTATTAATCACATACCTGGACAACCACACTTCTTACACACAGTGTTCAAAACAGCTTCTAAAGTGATCTTTTGACTGGTATAATCTTTAAAGGAGCATTTTTTCCGTGCCTCTTGACTGCATAAAAACACAAGAATTTTCAAAAACAGAAACACCATTAATATGGGAAAAACCTGGTTCTACTTGGAACAATGAACACATTCTAAGTTATGTCAAGAAAAATAATATTAAAAAACAGCTTTCTGAATTGTCACTATGATTTTTTTTAACTTATTGTCCATAATCAGAAATCTATGCAATCACAAAATTAATTATTTTAGCAACCTTTTTATATCATTCAACCTGTCACAGCTCAAGACAGTTTATATTCTACAAAAATATATTTCATAAAAACATGCTAAAAGTTACAAATGCAGCCCAGGACTACCTGTCTACACAAGTATGGATTTCAATTCTCAGAATTCCATAGCCACATTTTAAAGTTGCCAAGGTTAAGAAACACAGGTCTACCCCAAACAAGATGGTTTTCACTGCTTTGAAAATACACGTTTGTGTATAAATAAAGAACAACAGAAATAGTGAAACTCATTTGCCAACACAGAGCGGAGATGGGCAGTTAAAAAGTGTGGGACATAAATGTGGGAAGAATCCAACACCTTGGCATACTATAATCACACTTCTCAAACATAAAATGTTGACTGGCTATTCTATGGGCAGGAAGAAAATCAACAGAAAGAATGGAATGAAGTGGTTTAAAAGATGACTGGATGAAATACTGAACAGGAATCCTCCACACCACATTTTGTGGCAGGGTCTCTTGGTTCATCGGTCCCCAACATTTTTGGCACCAGGTTTCGTGGAAGACAATTTTTCCATAGACCAGAGGTGGGGGAGGGAGAAGGAGCACATAATCTAGATCCCTCACGTGCAGTTTACAGTAGGCTTCACTTGGCCACCTCCAGCTGTGTGGCCCAGTTCCTAACAGGCCACAGATCGGTACTGGTCCACACACATCCTGGGGGTTGGGGACCCGTCTTGGTGGTCTCTTCTACTGAGCTCAAAAGAACTGTTGGATTTTTACACTTTCTCCATGAGAAGTCATACTAGAAAGACCTTTGGTATAGAGAAGAAAAATTAGAGGAATGGAGATTTCACTTACTCAAGGACAACATTATTGGGGTCTAAGTCCTTTCCAGTTCCTTGGTTAACAACTTTCATGGAAAGAGATAGTTTCAATTTGTCATCCGTCTTCTGAAAACATAAAGCAATACATTTTGATTTTTGTTTCATTCCCAGATACCCAAGGCAAAAACTGATGTTGAGATTATAACAATCACTTTAAGGTATTATACTTCAATCATTGAAATGTATTAATGTAAAATACATTAGCTATTCATAATGAGCTTTCAGATAGTATCAATCAACCATGTTTCCCCGAAAATAAGACCCTGTCTTTTTTGAACCCTGAAATAAGTGCTTGGCCTTATTGCCATGCACTCAAAAGCCCGATTGTGTTTATTATCAGGGGATGTCTTATTTTGGGGGAAACAGGGTAGCTATGTTTTAAGGCAGAATTGGACTGGATATTTCATACAGGGTACTTTGTGAAATATGTAAAAAACTTTGATTGAGTTGCATACTGTTACAATAAATTTACAGAATGAATCAATTTTTGAACTCATTTGAGATGTCTTGTAAGCGCATCATTCATAAAACTCAATCTCATTCAATTCCATGTTTATTTAAAATTCCAATGAAATTAATGTTTTCTATGAGAATTTAATTTTCAGATTGCATACTTTTTCAGTAGCTTTCAGAGTAAATGTTAAGATTGTGATATCATTCTTCTTTAATAAAAGTATTTGTACAGTAATTGCTAACGATGAAATCTTTATTGGTAGAAATCATAAAATGGAGCCACAAATTTACCTCTTTTCCTATAAGTTTCACCCACACTTTTTCTCCAACGTCCACCATCTCTGAAGGTTTGTCCACTCTACAGTTTGACATTTGGCTTTTGTGAACAAGGCCTACAGCAATAACAAGAGAGAAAATACTTTATTTTCTGCTAGAAATCAATAACATAATTTTCTAAAACAACCCATTTTACAAAGAAACTACTCATTTTTGTTTTATATCCATTTACCCATAATACAGGTAATCCTCAACTTACAACAGTTAATTTAGTGACTGTTCAAAGTTACAACAGTTCTGAAAAAAGTGACTTATGTTTTGCAACTGTTGCAGCATCCCCATAGTCACATGATCAAAATTCGGATGCTTAGCAATTGGTTCATATTTATGACAACTGCAATGCCCCAGGATCATGTGATCTCCTTTTGTGACCTTCTAACAATCAAAATCAATGCGGAAGCCAGATTCACTTAACAACTATGATACTAACTTAACAACTGCAGTAATTCACTCAACAACTGTGACAAGAAAGATCATAAAATGGGCAAAATTCACTCACTTAGCAACATAAATTTTGGGCTCAATAGTGATCATAAGTCAATGACTAGCAATGTAAGCTTTGTGTAAGCCACCAAGGTTACTTGGGAATGGGTACGCTCAACACTTGTAAGTGGAAAAGTAACACCATTCATTATACTAACAAAAGAATGTTAACCGAAGAGTCACCATATAATTAATCAAACCTTGTTTTGGGGTTCCTGGAATTTTTATAAATGCTCCATATTCTGTCACAGAAGCAACCTGTAAAAAATATATATACCACCACTCACAAACAAAGCAACATTTATTAACCTACTGTCTCCTTACCCTGCTCCCAGTAACAACAGATGCTAGCACAATATACTTAGTTCTGTCTATTTGATGCCAAAGATCAGGTAGCCTCTTGAGATCTAACTGTTTGGAAATATCAGAAGGAATACTTACATAAATATGTGTCTACTGGTGTGCTATTTCTTTCACTGAATCTTATCCATCTTAAAAATTGTCTCCTTAAACTAAAATTCTATGTATACTTGGGAATAAACCTTATCCACTTTGGCATGGCTAACTTGTGAATATATTTATATATAAATATAATTTATATTTCACTGACAAAGAAATAAAGGGAGACTAGTATAGATCTATTTCAATCTATTTAGCTCTCATCAGCTAGACATACCCTTACTTGGATTCGAACTTGGGCTGCCTGCATGTTAGGCAACTGTATTAACCTCTGAGCCACAAGTTCTCCTCCCTTCATCATCTTGAGTCAGGGGAGAGATTAAGCGTTTTTTTTAAATATTCTTATATATTTCTATAAATAAGAAATTCAGCACCAAACCACCAACTGCTATAGCACAATTCCACACTATTTCTAAGATGTTATTCAAAAAGCTTTACCGCAGCCGGTTAGTTTGTTCCTAAATCTATTGATTAACGACATCCTAGTCACTTATACGAAGGATATTTTTTAAAAAATGTGTTAATTGAACTTTAAAAAATATATATACATATTATCTATTTCAGGGGTCTCCAACCTTAGCAACTTTAAGCCTGGTGGACTTCACCTCCCAGAATTCCCTAGCCAGCTTTGCTTTGGTGACCCCTGATCTATTTAACCTATCTGAACTTCAAAAACTTGTTAACTGTGAAAACACATTTATGTGATGTATTCAATCTCATCTCTCTGTAAATTAACTCTTTGGGACCATACCTCTCCTTGGAAAACAGCATAGAGTTCTGGAAGCTGATCCATTGCTTTCGAATACCACAAAAGGAGTTTATAACCAATCTTCTGGTCAAGTTTCCTTTTCTATATTCTATATTATCCCCTGGGCAGCTAAAAAAAAAAAAAAAAGCTCTTGCACTGAAAAAGAGACAAAGTTAAGGGAGACATATTACAAATAACACAAGTCAGTAAAAAAACAGTAAGGCGAGTCCAAGCTCCCCCCCTCCCCTCATTCCGGTCAGCGTGTACACCTTGCTCCCCCCACCCCCTTCATCCGGCAGTGGATGATGGGAGCCGTCCTTCACTTCAATTTCACGTCCAGTATTGGACTACAACTACCATTAATTTACCTCACAGGAAAAAAACCCCTGTGAGGAGAAAATGACAGGCCTTGTCATCCTTGAGGAGGAGGAGCCAAACTGAAGGGAATTTAAAACTCGAAACCGCCTTCGCCGGTCCTTCTTTGACCCCGACTCGCATCTTACCGCCGTGACGATACAGACGCTCCAAATGCCACCTTCGTTATCCGCCGCCCTCAAGTGTGCAGGCAGTCTTATCTCTCTCCCCCCACCACTTTCAGCCAATGGGGAGACAGAATAAACGCAGGGTCGAGCGAGAGTCTCGACCATTCGGCGTTCTCCGTGTTAAGCGTGGCGACGTCGACGCCTACGTCTTGATCCTCCCGCCTCTTCGCCAGCGTCTTGAGCCAACCGGCGTCGGGAAGGGCCGTGTCAAAGCGCCAATGAGGAGGAGAGGGCGTGGCCTTCCCACTCTTGGACCAGCACGGCGGCGTTGGGGGTCAATAACGCGATGATCGACCCGCAGAAACGGAAGGCTCCCGGGCCGGATATGGCTCTGGTGGCGGCGGCGGCTGCTGCTAAAAAACCCCGCCATGAGCTCATCTTGGGGCCGGGTCCCGGAGCTGGGCAACCGCCTCCGGGCGCCTTGTTGCAGGCGGTGAGTTTCTTCCTGGGAGGGAAGCCGCTGTGTTTTTCCTTGAAATGGATGTTGGTGTGTGAGCCAAGGGAGAGATTAAGTGTTTTTCTAGACATATTCTTATATATTTCTATATATAAGAAATTGAGCACCAAACGGCTTTGCCCCCCCAGAATCGTTTCATTAAAACTTCATTTCCTAATTCTTACGTCTTTCTACTAACCCGATTCGGAATTTTATTTTGCATTAGGTTTATCCGCTTGCTATGTTTTTGGGTGATTGTAAATTAATAATAATGTTTTTGGGTGATTGTAAATTAATAATAATGTTTTTGGGTGATTGTAAATTAATAATAATAATGTTTTTGGGTGATTGCAAATTAATAATAATAATGTTTTTGGGTGATTGTAAATTAATAATAATGTTTTTGGGTGATTGTAAATTAATAATAATAATGTTTTTGGGTGATTGTAAATTAATAATAATGTTTTTGGGTGATTGTAAATTAATAATAATGTTTTTGGGTGATTGTAAATTAATAATAATAATGTTTTTGGGTGATTGCAAATTAATAATAATAGTGATGATGATGATGATGATACTGATGATACCCAGTGATACCCATTGTCATCGGGGCACCTGGTACCATGTCCAAGAATTTTACAAAAGACATCAAGAAATTGCAGCTTCTTGCAATAAACCAGAGGAACTGCAAAAAATTACACTACTCGGAACATCATATATTTTAAGAAGATACTTGGTTGATACCTAGGACGCTGGCAGCACCAGCGGAACTGCAAAAAACTACGCTACTTAGAACATCATATATTTTAAGAAGATACTTGGTTGATACCTAGGACGCTGGCAGCAACCCATATCAACCATTAGCACCAGTCAATCGTATTTGTGACACATTTTTAAATGTTCAGTTGACTGAGTTTCATGTTTAATGAATAAAATAATAATAATAATAATAATAATAATAATAATAATAATAATAATAATAAATATCATCACTTGGAACACAACACGCCAGATATCACAGTTGTCGAAAACCTAAACGTACAATTTATTCACATCGCGGTACCAGGAGATGCCAGAGTTGAAGAAAAAGAACTGGAAAAAATCATGAAATATCGCGACCTGGCCATCGAAACTACACAGCTATGGATGAAACATGTAACAGTGATACCCATTGTCATCTGGGCACTTGGTACCATGTCCAAGAATTTTACAAAACACATCAAGAAATTGCAGCTTCCTGCAATAACACCAGCGGAACTGCAAAAAAAACTACGCTACTCGGAACATCATATATTTTAAGAAGATACTTGGTTGATACCTAGGACGCTGGCAGCAACCCGTATCAACCATTAGCGTTAGTCAGTGGCATTTGTGATACATTTTTAAATGTTCAGTTGACTGAGTTTCATGTTTAATGAATAAAAGTATAATAATAACAACAACACTGTCAAACATCCGGATTTGCCTATCAAGGTCCTTGGTAAGGACTCGATAGGTAGACAAAAATGCCAAACCCAGTCTGAACATCTGGCTCACTGTGCGATGATCACTAATAATAATAATAACAACACAATCCCTAACCCTAACCCATCAAACAACAATATCTGCCTATCGGGTCGTTGTTGCCCTTTAAGCTTCGAAGGGTGTGGGAGTATGAACGGATTTCCAGAGAATTGCAGGAACCATTTGCACTATTCAGGTGACCCTGAAGACACAGATAAACCTCCAAGTGATTTAAGGACCCTCTAAAAGGATGCAAATGACCAGCTGTTTGCAAGGAATATAAATCCTTCAATTTCCTCACCCTCCAGTCAGAGCTGAAGAAGCTTCTTGGATGAGAAGCAAAACATCTTCAAGGAAAAACAAAGAAAGTCCAGTTGCCTCTTGAAAAAAGCACTTTTGGGACAGCCATGACCTGGATGACTGAGAATCTCCATAAACTCTCTGAGCTTGGTTGTTTTCTAGCACATGTCTCATTACCCAACTAGGTAACATCAGTTTTAGAAGGGAATGGGGTTTGCTCTCTGATTGTTACGCTAGTTGGGAAATGAAACATTTGCAAGTAAACAACCAAACTCACAGAACATCAAGGATCCCTCGTTTTAACCCTGAGCTACAAATATTATCGTTTCTGAGAACATCTGCCTATCAAGCTCTTGGGAAGGACCTCATGGTGGATAAAATTCTAAATCTAGTCTAAACTTCTGGCTGAATGTGCAACACATGATAATCATAACCATTAAACTTCCTTGCTTCTTGACTCTGAAAAATGATTATCCTCTCTTTGTCTATTAAATTATTAAACTTTCTATTAAACATGTTGACTGGTTTATACATGTATTTGCTGCATTTTATGTGATAAGTATTTGTTTGTTCAATTTATTAGGATGTTAATGCCCACATTATAAAAGCGCTGTGGATACTATAAGCAAACATATAAAAATGCAGAAGAAATAATAACAATAAACGTATTAATCTCTTTTTGTGCGAATGCTGGTATTAATAGAATAAATGTTTATAGATTTTTAATGCAATCTTTCCTAATTCTTTGTCTGCAGTTGGACCTATAGTTTCTGCTATTTTAGCCATAGCTGTATGTTTGCATTTTCCATTGATTACAATATTTATCCTGTTTTCATAGCATTAAGTAAGAGGTGTCTGAGCCTTTTCAAAAATATATAGATCAATTTTCTTTCTGACTTAATTTTTTTTTTCTACCAACGGTTTGTGCTTATTTATATCTTCTTGAATATGTTGCGTTTCCTTTCTATATTAGGGCCCCCCAAGATGTTCCTCATTGCAAGCACCCATAATGTTACTTTCTGGTCATGAAGGAGAGGTTTATTGTTGCAAGTTTCATCCTAATGGATCCACCCTAGCCTCAGCTGGGTTTGACAGGTTGATACGTAAGTCAATTCTGTGATTTTTCTTTTGAGCGTGATAGGCTTGTTAAAGCTGCAGATTAGGTATTCTCAGAAGAGCCATTCCATTCTGATGAGAGTAAATAGAGACATACCTCTAATGCAGGGGTCTACAAGCCCAGGTTCATGGACCGGCACCAGGCCATGGCATGCCAGAAACTGGGCCACGCAAACAAGCAAAGCGGGATGCAGGCAGCACATGAAACATCCCCCCCCCTCCACAGAAAAACTTCTCTCCATAGAACAGTCCCTGGTGCCCAAAAGGTTGGGGGGCCACTGCTTTAATGATGTGTACTGTTCAATAGTTTTTAGCAGAACTTTATTATCATTTAAAAAAACCTGCCTTCTATTGAGGACCTGTATACTGCACGAGTCAAAAAGAGGGCTGTGAAAATATCTACAGACCTCTCACATCCTGGACATAAACTGTTTCAAGTCCTACCCTCAAAATGACACTATAGATCACTGCACACCAGAACAACTAGACACAAGAACAGTTTTTTTCCCAAACGCCATCACTCTGCTAAACAAATAATTCCCTCAACACTGTCAAATAATTTACTAAGACTGCATTACTATTATTCTTCTCTTCCTTACTAGTCTCTATCTCTTCCCATTTATTAGTATAACCATGTCGCTTGTATCTTTCAATTTATATTGTTTTTATTTGTTTCCTAGTACGATTTGATAACTTATTAATAAGCTTGACTACCACTTGTATCTTTTTATTCTTGATGAATGTATTTTATTCTCCTTATGTACACTGAGAGCATATACTGTATACCTAAGACAAATTCCTTGTGTGTCCAATCACACTTGGCCAATAAAGAATTCTATTCTATTCTATTCTATTCTATTCTATTCTATTCTATTCTATTCCATTCCATTCCATTCCATTCCATTCCATTCCATTCTTTACAAAAGAATGCTTTACCCTTTTCATCCTTTAGAGTAAGCAGAATTTTACTTTTTCTGTGCTTCAGTCTGCTGCTAAATATGTCAATTTTAGATCAAATACTAACAGCACTTTCACTACTTGCAATCTTACATGCAATAACACCTGCCTAATTGCAGACTGTGTATTAAGACACCTTTGATTTGAAATGATTGTTTGATATATTCAGGAAAACACTATACTTAGGCTCGATCCTCCCTCTCATTTCAGTCCTATGGCATGTGTATGGTGACTGTGATAATTATGCCACTTTGAAGGGCCACAGTGGCGCAGTTATGGAACTACATTACAACACTGATGGCAGGTTGGTGTTTATTTTTTTTTACATTTTGTACAATATACCAAAATATTTCTCCGCTTTTGAAAACAAATAGTGATCTGTGATTTGACCAAAAAAACCTTAATAGGAATGCAGAAAACTAGCTTCATATCATATACATATGTTGTGTTTTATTGTTTCGATGGTTTGCTGTTTTCTTTGAAAAGGACGCTTGAATTTATTTTTTAAAAAATTACTTTGTTACTATAATCCTCAAATGAGTAAAAAAGTATGTGTATGTATGTATATAGGGGTCGCGGTGACTCAATGGCTAAGACGCTGAGCTTGTCGATCGAAAGGTCGGCAGTTCAGCGGTTCAAATCCCTAGTGCCGTGTAACGGGATGAGCTCCCGTTACTTGTCCCAGCTTCTGCCAACCTAGCAGTTCTAAAGCACGTAGAAAATGCAAGTAGAAAAATAGGGACCACCTTTGGTGGGAAGGTAATAGCGTTCCATGCGCCTTTGATGTTGAGTCATGCCGGCCACATGACCATGGAGACGTCTTCGGACAGCGCTGGCTCTTCGGCTTTGAAACGGAGATGAGCACCGCCCTCTAGAGTTGGGAACGACTTTACCTTTATGTATGTATATATAAAAGGTAAAGGTTTCCTTTTCCAGTCGTGTTCGATTCTAGGACACGGTGCTCACCTCTGTTTCTTGGCTGAGGGATCCAGTGTTGTCCAAAGACATTTTCTGTAATCATGTAGCCAGCATGACTATATGTCAAAGGCGCACAGAACATTGTTATCTTCCCACCAAAGTGGTATTTATCTAGTCGCATTTTCATGCTTTTGAACTGCGAGGTGGGCAGGTGTGTGTGTGTGTGTGTGTGTCAAAAAGCACATGTACATTACAAAAAAAAATCCTATATGTTTTGAAATAAGTGACTCCGTTTTTAAACACGAAATAAACCATGCTCATAGCAAATCATATTCTTCACTGTTTTCATTGGATCGATAAACAGCCAGTTCAAAGGCTGGAAAGGATGTACATATTTTTTTCAATACAGGATTTTAAGCTGGACTAACTCCAGATTCAAAGTTGTTCATAGAACAATAAATGTCAAGTTTTAATTCAAAATCTTTAAATCTTATTTCTGCTCTCAAGACTATATTAATGCTTTAAATATCAGCTTAACACGCAAGCCAGCCGAAAGTATATGAGGCAAAATTTCCTCAAAGATACTGCATCTTTAGCATGAAAAAAACAAAATGCACTCTTTTAGAAACTCCTACAGTAAAAGAGTACTGCATAATAGATGATATTCCCAAAGTTTTCAGTTGCTAGCAAGAGTAATAGCACTTAGACTTATATACTGCTTCACAGTGCTTTTACACCCCTCTCTAAGCGGTTTACAGAGTCAGCATATGGCCCCCAACAATCTGGGTCCTCAGAAGGATGGAAGGCTGAGTCAACCTTGAGCCTGGTGAGATTTGAACTGCCAAATTGCAGGCAGTCAGCAGCCTTCAGTACTGCACTCTAACCACTGTACCTCAGTGCTAGGCTTTATCCCTACCCATCATGTATTGCTTGTTGCATAGTTATCTAATAGTTTAATTGTAGCAAAACAAACAAGATGGCCTTTTCCTTTAATGCTACAAGCAATATTAAAGTGAGCCCCCAAAGAATTTCTTGTCTAGTATCTTTCTCTTATCTAATGGACCATTTTTAATGTGATAAGTAACTTTTAAGTGTCGAGAAGTACCAGCTTTACAAGATTCATAGCCATTGCCTTCTTTCACAGCATGCTGTTCTCAGCCTCCACGGATAAAACAGTAGCAGTATGGGATAGTGAGACAGGAGAGAGAGTGAAAAGACTTAAAGGACACACTTCGTTTGTCAACTCCTGCTATCCAGCAAGACGTGGACCTCAGTTGGTTTGCACAGGCAGCGATGATGGGACAGTGAAGGTCAGCATTTGTACTATAACTCTTGCAGGATAAGAGCGAGGGCTGGTTTGGTGTAGTTTTAATTACAGACCAAGAAACCTGGTCTGTCCTGCCTTCGGCTTAAAAGCCAACAGGATGGCTTTAGGCTAGCCTTTCTAATTGCCAGTCTTCCTGGTTGTCTGTTAGAAGCCAATGATTTTCAGCCTCTTTCGAATAGGCGGTGCCATTTTTTTCTCCTTTTTTTTAATACTTGGTATTGTGATATTGCCTATATATAACCTTGTGGCAGCATTAAATGAATGTTTAAAGGTTTGGGGCCTCCTTTATTTTTTTTTTAAAGTTTTTTATTTTTATTTCTCATAAACACATTTACATGTACAGTCATTTATCTGTCATTTTTCATTCACCTTATCTTTTAACTTTCATTTTTAACTTTTTCGGGGCTACTCTTTTACTATTTACCTTTACTCCAACCTTTCTTCTTCTCCTCCCCTTCTTTTCCTTCCTCTTTCTCCTCCTACTTTCTTCCTTTCCTTCTCTTTCCTACTTCTGCTTCTCTTCCCCCACTCCTCTCTTCTTCCCCCTTCTAATCTTCTCTTCTACTCCTCCTTCCCCTCCTTTTCTTTTCTTCCTTCCTTCCCTTTCTTCTCTTCTTTCTCCTCTCCTCTCCTCTCCTCTCCTCTCCTCTCCTCTCCTCTCCTCTCCTCTCCTCTCCTCTCCTCTCCTCTCCTCTCCTCCCCTCCCCTCCTCTCCTCTCCTCTCCTCTCTCTCTACTCTTTCCCCTCTCCTGTTGTTTCCCTTTTCAGTTCAATCTAAAGTGGTATTCGAGCAGCCCCGATTTTCTAATTATCTTTATTCTCATTTCAATTTTTGAAATGGGTTTTGGGCCTCCTGAGGGGGATGTTTGCTATCCCCCCCAATCGATGCACACATAGATTGGTCACCTATGTCAAAACAAGCCTACAGGCTAGAGAAATACTTGGAATTTTAGGAGAAGCTCTGTAGGCCAGAGGTGTCCAACCTTGGCAACTTGTAAGACTTGTGGACTTCAACTTCCAGAATTCCCCAGCCAGCATGTGCTGGTGATTTTACCACCAAAATATGTACAGATGGGTTCTTTATCCTGTTCGTCATCCTTATAATGCATATGAAAAAGGGGATTGTTTTTGGGATTTTTTTTTCCTCTGGATGTATATCTCTTCTTAACCATATATGCTCAATCTGTAAATCTTGGGGAGTGGCACACAGTAGCTGTATCTTCGTTGCTTCTTCCCTACATTTCTGTTCATAATTAATAGGTTTAAGAGAAGATAGATAGATAGATAGATAGATAGATAGATAGATAGATAGATAGATAGATAGATGATAGATAGATAGATAGATAGATAGATAGATAGATAGATAGATAGATGATGAATGGATAGCTAGCTAGCTAGCTAGATAGGTAGAGTAGAGTAGAGTAGAGTAGAGTAGAGAGTAGTAGAGTAGAGTAGAGTAGAGTAGAGTAGATCAGTCAGCAACCTGTAGCCACATGTGGCTCTTTCACCCCTCTGCTGCGGCTCCCTGTCACTCAAAATATGTGTCACAACCACCAATGTGCAACACCCACCGGCACGCGATTTATTGAGCTTTTCAACCCCCAATAGGCCAACCATGGATAAATCCAAGAAAAGACAAGTTTCAGAAGAGAACAAAACGTTTAATTCAACTACATAGGCTAGTTTTGTGGCTGCTCAAGAAATAGTCAGGCACGGGAAGGGTTTTGTGGCTCCCGATGTTTTCTTTTCTGTGGGAAACGGGTCCAAATGGCTCTTTGAGAGTTTAAGGTTGCAGACCCCTGCAGTAGGTAGATAGGTAGGTAGGTAGAGGAGGAGGGAGATACATAGATATATAAAAAAATAAAACACTTTTTTCTTCTCAGCTCTGGGACATCAGGAAGAAAGCAGCTGTTCAGACCTTCCAGAACACCTATCAAGTATTAGCTGTGACCTTCAATGATACCAGTGATCAATAATATCTGGCGGTATCGACAATGATATCAAGGTCAGTTGACTTGGTCCAGGAAGTCAGGCTTCATATTTATTTTAAAACTGGTTTGTTTTTTCCTCTTTCATTTAGCGCTGTAAAATAAAACGGGCAGCCCCAGATAAAAATGGGTTAAAAAGCATGGCTGGTATGGAGGTTGTCTAATTTTCCGCTGGCATTTGAAATGTAAATTCTTTTGTGAGGGCGAGTAGGCAGTGTGCTCTGATATTTCAGGTTTTTCTAAGGACAGGAATAGAAAATGGATTTGGCCAGGTGCCCCGTATGTAGGCCATGAATGATGTGGGGCTGTGGGTGGGTGGGGGGAGGCATCTCTTTCCACACCTCTAAAATTCTTTTGTATTTTACTCCTAAAACGTCATTGTTTTTAATACAGGTAGTCCTCAGCTTACGACCATAATTGTCCAAAATTTCTATAGCTAAGAAAGATAGTTGTTAAGTGAATGATAATCCATTTTACGACCTTTCGTGCCACAGCTAAGTGAATCCCTGCAGTTGTTAAGTTAGTAACTTGGTTTGTTAATGAATCTGGCCTCCCCATTGACTTTGCTTGTCAGAAGGTCAGAAAAGCTGATCATACAACCCTGGGACACTGCAGCCATCATATATAGGAGACAGTTGCCAAGCGCCTGTATTTTAATCACATGGCTCTGGGGGATGCTGCAACGGTCATAAGTCACTTTTTTCAGGGTCATTGTAACTTTGAACGGTCACTAAATGAATCATCAAGGACTACCTATAGAATCAATTGCTGGAAAGAAATCCCTGCGTCTGGAACATTGGTGTAGGCTAGAAGTCTAACTTTTACTACAACTTAAATATGACCCCAGGGGGAGGGCCTTCTCTGTGGGGGCACCCACTATCTGGAACGAGCTCCCCCCGGAGATACGGAGGATCCCAGATCTGTGCACTTTCCGCTGTGCTCTTAAGACCCTCCTATTCCAGCAAGCCGGCCTGGCCTAATTTTTCTCCCCTTTAAAATTTTTAAACTGAAATTTTAATTTGTTTTAAATTATTGGGATTTTTAATTGTCTTGGGCTAAATTATTTAATTTGGTTTTAAATTGTTTCTAGCTTTTGTATTTCTGTATTTTATCCTGTGCCTGTTCACCGCCCTGAGTCCTTCGGGAGTAGGGCGGTATACAAGTTTAATAAAACATGAAATAAACATAAAACATGACACTTTCAGGGCCTCATTTTATTTATGGTAATTACTTCTTAGTTTCTAGTGGAATGGTGCGGTGGCCTAGAGGTGGAGCTCTCGCCTCATAATCAGGAGGCTGTGAGTTTGATCCTAGGTAGAGGCAGATATTTCACTCTCTCTGGGAACACTGAGAATATATCTGCTGTACAAAACTCTGCATTGGTGACAGGAAGGGCATCCAGCCATTAAATACTCTGCAAATATTCAGTTGGCCAGATGCTACCCCACAAGGGATTATGGGGTCGAAGATGATGATGACTTCTTAAGTTTCTGGTACGTCTTTCAAGTGTAAAATGCCAGACCTGTGTTAAATCTCTTAAAAGGTATGGGACCTTCGTCAGAACAAGCTAACTTACACAATGAGAGGACATGCGGATTCTGTCACCGGTCTCAGCCTAAGTGCAGAGGGCTCTTACTTGCTTTCCAATGCAATGGACAATGCAGGTAATCACTTTCTCCTTACTCTCTTTCCATACCTCCAGGTATGGTATCCTCATCAGTTGCTCATTAGTGGCAAGCAAATCAGAATAGCAATAGCACTTACACTTGTATACCGCTTCATAGTGCTTTACAGCTCTCTCTAAGCAGTTTACAGAGTCAGCCTATTGCCCCCAACAATCTGGGTCCTCATTTTACCCACCTCGGAAGGATGGAAGGCTGAGTCAACCTTGTGCTGATCAGAATTGAGCTCCTGGAGTAAGCTTGCAGTACTGCCTTACAACCACGGCTCTGGTTGCACACCTACCATATTTTTCGGAGTATAAGATGCACCAGACTATAAGATGCACCTACCTTTTTTGGTGAGGAAAAGAAGAAAAAGAAATCTCCCTCTGCCTCCCAGCAATTTTGCCTCATTGCAACAAATAGCAAACAGCCTGCTTTATTTTCATTTTAGTTTTCAGCATAGCTTGATTAGCACAAGGAAAAAAAAAATCTGCTCCAGCAATTTACCTCCTTGCAGCAAGCAGCAGAGGCCCAGGCAAAACAGCTGAGAGCAAAACAACTGAGAGTCAGGAGGCCAATCCAATCAATTTGTGCTAATTAGGTTGTGCTGAAGCCGAAAGGAACTGTTTCTTCTTGCTGTTTGCTGCAAGGAGGTAACTGCTTGGAGGCAGAGGCCAAAGGGTGGGGGCCAGTGGGAGGGAGGGGTGTATAAGACGCCTCCAAATTTTCACCCCCTTTAGGGAAGAAAAAGGTGTGTCTTATACTCCGAAAAATATGGTATTTATTTAAAAGATTTATAAGGTCATTGTAAAACACAACAGTGGGCAGCTCATTACATGACTCCAGCATGCTGCAGCTACCTAAATACATGCGAGTTGTCAAGTACCTGGATTTTGACCACGTGGCTGTGGGATGCCATGGCAAGGAGCGGTCATAAATCACTTGTTGTGATGCAGTTGTAACTTCATCGCTAAACAGATGGTTGTAAGTCAAGGACTCCTTGTAATAATTATGGCCATGGTAAATAATTTACTAACAGCACTCATAGTTTTAGAGCAACAGTGGTGTACAGACGAAAATTAAGAATGGGAGATAGTGTTCTGACCTAGACTTCCTTAATAGAATAGAATAGAATAGAATTTTTTTATTGGCCAAGTGTGATTGGACACACAAGGAATTTGTCTTGGTGCATATGCTCTCAGTGTACATAAAAGAAAAGATACATTCGTCAAGAATCATAAGGGACAACACTTAATGATAGTTATAGGGTAAAAAGCATGAAGCAGAGTCTTGATCCCGGCAAAACCCCTTTTATTTACACAACTGTGAATTCCTTTCATTCACAGGCAGCAAGGCTTGGCAAACTATCTTTCAGAGGAATATTTATCAACCCAAACCTTATCTCACGTGGAACGCTGCCAGATAACTAGTTTCCAAACACAGTGTAAGGCAAAAGTTGGCACAGAGTCTCTTAGAGTCACAAACAGAACTTTCCACTCTTGAAACGACTGACCGAATGAATTGTTTCCTGCAAAAGTCCGCTCCCCATTCGCTCCTCTTTTATTTCCTATGGGAGGGCCAATCACCTCCAAGGTGTGGCTTTACTTCCAAGTCGACCCTGCTTTCTGAATTGTTCTTGTTTTCTGGCAGCTCTGCACATGCACACACTGGGAACAGGCTCCAGCTGTTCCTCTGCCTCACTGCTGTTTAGCTCCCTCTCTGCCTCCAACGCAGAGCCCTCATCCGAGCTTTCCCCAGCCCCCAGGACTGGCCCATGTTCCTCCCCAACCTCCTCACTGTCCGACTCTGCTGCCAGTTCCGCTGGCCATCAGCGGGCCACAACAGATAGGCTTGAGTGACAATTTTCTGGTGGAATCCATGACGTAAAACAAAAAGATAAAGGAACAATTAAGAGAGAATCCTACATTGGTTGTTATGTCGCTTCCTCGTTCAAAATGAGAAATAATTTTAAATTGCCCTCTTTTGATTCGAACAATAACGGGTGAAATTCAGCAACTAGTGTTGGGTTTTGAGTATTTGGCTCTAAGCTGTCCTCCCAGGGATCTTTAATCTTGGCTGTCAGGGAGAGCTGAGATGATAATCACTCTACGTGTTGCAACTTTATTTGATGTTATTGTTGTTACTATTGCATTAAAATTACATTTTAGCAGCTGGCTGGCAATTAAACCTGCATTACGAGCCAATATCGAAATAATTAGCTCTGGATGCGACATGCTGGTTTTGATTTTGTTCTAGTTCGCATCTGGGATGTGCGGCCCTTTGCTCCCAAAGAAAGATGTGTGAAGATACTCCAAGGGAACGTGCATAATTTTGAGAAGGTAAGTGAAGTGTTGGCTGAAACATTGCTTGTTTATGGCTGCTAGTTGAAAGTTAATTGATGAATAAATGGCTTTTAAAATTGGGAATTGCTGCAAACCCTTTAACAAGGCCTATGTTGGAAATTAACGGGCGGGATAAAATTCCAATTAGAGCTGCTGCAAAAGAGCTCCCTCCCCCCCCCCCCCCCCCTGCCGTTGTCGTCGTCTATAAATTAACCATCTTCGACATTTCACAACCTATTTCATAGTAAGAAAACAAGATGCTTTTAGTTCTGGCAATAAAATCTGGTACAGAACTGCAGACTAAGGTTTCAGAGGAAAGCCATTCCTGAAATATTGTTAATATTGCGCAAGCCCTGGTAGATTTCCTTTCAGATAAAAATAAAGAGCATGAAAAATGCCTGGAATCGGACCGTGTTTTCTTGTTTGTTAGAACCTTTTGCGATGTTCCTGGTCCCCAGATGGAAGTAAAATAGCTGCTGGATCTGCAGACAGGTAAAAAAATCTGCTGGTTTAACTTTTAAACATTTAAAAGCCCCGCCTTTTATTTTAGCAATAAATAAATTGATGATGATGATGTTGATACTTAAAACCAAGCTGATCCAGAGAGAGTCTTGGTTAGTCTCAGTTGCAGTGGCCATCTTTATTTTATTTATTTTACTGTATTTTATTTAGTCACTTGTCTTGTACGTTCCTTTTAATTATAATACACAGAATTTTGTTTTGATCTGCAGGGTCTAAAATGCATAACAAACCATATACCTGCCACAGTTTTGCAGTGGTACATTCAGATTCATTGATTCTAACTCCAATTATACAGGGTTGTGTTAACTAGGTGCAATTCACCGTTCTGAAGCTGGTGTCAAGTTTCTGAAAGATGCCCTAATTAATTAATGAGCCATGATCCAAACTTCAAAGGAAATATAGTCATTTACTAGGAGCAACATTCTGGCAATACTCGGATGCAGTTAGGACTGATCCCCTGTTCCCCTATCACCCTGTCTCTCCCCTCCTTTCTGGCCATGTCATAAATCACATTCTCCAATTAACCACTTTGGCTGGCTGTGAAACCTAACACCCTCCTTCTGATTGCGGTCAGAAAGAATGTATGGAATTCACTTCAGTTCTCCCTCCCTCCTGCTCATGGCAACTTGAAAGCTTTGCAAGTTGACAGCTGGCTTCTGAGGTTGGCAGATTAGAACCATGCTGGAAACTGTTTTAACTTTCTATTAACACGACAAATAAATACTAAAATGCAAATCTAAGCACTTTAAAAAATTCTCTAGTGGTATAGAACATTAGAGCATTAACGTGGATAGAACATTATATGTTCATCAGCTTCTGTGTTTATATATTGTTTGAGAGTCAGTTAGAAGGCAACTGTGGTCTCTTATGTGCAGGGAGGCCTTTATGTGTGTTTGTCATCATACACAGGTTTGTTTATGTGTGGGATACAACCTCTAGAAGAATCCTCTACAAACTTCCAGGCCATGCGGGTTCGATAAATGAAGTGGCATTTCACCCAGAAGAACCAATAGGTAAGTCCTTCCTATGCATGGCCAGCAACCTTGAACATAAGTGCTAATCAGAGGTGGGTTTCAGCAGGTTCTGACCAGTTCTGGAGAACCGGTAGCAGAAATTTTGAGTAGTTCAGCGAACCAATGGTAAAAATTCTGACTGGCCCCGCCCCCATTTATTCCCTGCCTCCTGAGTCCCAGTTGATTGGGAGGAAATGGAGATTTTGCAGTATCCTTCCCCTGCCACGTCTACTTAGCCACGCCCACCAAGCCACACCCACAGAACCGGTAGTAAAAAAAATTTTGAAACCTACCACTGGTGCCAATGTGTGAAATTATCCTTTTTAATAATCTTGTTAACATACCCTGAAGGAGGAGTCCTCCTTCCTTGCTGGTTCATTGCTCTGTTAGGTTTGCCTTGACGCTTAGGGTTACATTTATTTAAAACACAAATATTTAAGCTGGTAAAATAAAACAAGTCTCCAGAATGGTTCAAATGGGACCTTTCACTTACCTTTAACCAATTCTGCATTCCTTTCCATCAGTACTTTCTGCGTCTAGCGACAAAAGACTGTATATGGGAGAGATCCAGTGAGGAGGAGGAGGAGAAGATAACCATGGATTAATTCGGAAGATTTGCAGAACTCGATTGCTTCCAACCAATTTGAAAAGAAGAAGAAGAAGAAGGAAGAGGAAGATGGTCCATGAAGAGACTACAACTGTAATGTTTCCTAGGCAGCGTTAAATCGTCACCTGTCTCCTAAAAGATCTCTTCTTGAATTCTTTAACCACATTTACAGAAGCCTAAAACACGTGGCAGTCCTGTTCCATCATTTGGATGGATGCACAACTGCTTTATTTTACCTTTAAAACATGTGCTCTCTTTTATTTTTTTTAAAATTGTTTTGACCATGGTAAAGTGGGGAAGTAGCATTTAATATTGCATGCTTCCCTAAGATTCGTATGTCATTTTTATATTAAAAAAATGAAATGCCATATAAAAATTGCAGGTGGAATTTATTGACATATACATCTTTTGCCGATATATGACAGCCCAGGGGCAGAAGACTGGGCTAGATACAGCAAAGTTACCATATTAAATAATCCTTACAGTGGGTAGCAGCGTGCTAGTGTAATATTTCATATAGATTAATTAAGATTGTTTTTATTGGATTTTTTTTTAACTCAAAAGGATAGCCTAAACTGAATTGCAGAATCACTTGTCTGCTCAACAGTGAATATCACCCAAAATAACCCATTCAGAAAATGATTAATTGATAACAATGATATGTATGGGATTGTGGCTGTCTTCATTCACATAAGTGGTCTGGTTTTTTTCCCCGTAAATTATAAATTTACAAAATTTAGTAAATTGCGTCTGTTCTTTCCTTTACAATACTGTAAGTGTAGGAAATTTCTTTGAGAATGTATTGAAATATATATCTTTTTTAGAAAAGGAAAAGCTTACTTGAGAGAACACACACCCAAAACCTGTATGGGGTGTATGTACAGTATATTCTCAGTACACTAACTTTGTAAGTTGCGCTTCTGTTGAGACTGTAAAGATACATCTGTCTGTTTTCTGCATAGCAAATAATTTTCAAAGTATAAGATGCACCGGAGTATAAGACGCACCAAGATTTCAAAGAGGTATACAAGAAAAAGTTTTTGCCCTCCCCGGCACCCAGGAGCACTCTGCAGGCCTCTCAAACCCTCTGCGCGTCTCGTTTTTGCGAAAAACGGACCTGCTTTTGGAGAAAAGGGGATGCGCGAGGCGGGGTTTCGGGAGGTCAAAAATGGCTGTATTTGTTGTATAAGATGCACCATCATTTCCACCCTCTTTTGGGGGGGGAGTATGTCTTATACTCCAAAAAGTACGGTAACTGATCTGTCCTATTAAAATATGGGCAGTATTGCAAATGGAGCTGCGCATGGGCTTGCCAGTCGCTCACGCTAAACAATTCCCCTCTCTTCCCCCACCCCCCCCGCCTCCACCCGCCGATCCGTAAAGCCGGAGGTTGGGGAACTCTGCCCTAAATTTACCAAGAGTCCTCTGTACTTTATAGGAGTCGTTTTCCAGGAGGCCTCATTGCCTGTTTAAAAGCCTGTCTAAATCTGTGTGAAACCTCTGTCCCGAATCAAAACACGGCATTGAAAATGAGGTTTGATCAATGAAGGTTATAGAAGAGAATTATTGTCTAGGTATGGAAGCTGGATCTATTAAAAGCCGGGTAAATGGATGATGATGATAATTGCTGTTTGTATTGATTGCTGAAGAGCAAGAGCGGGTCTCCTGGGGTGTGCGACTAGAGCAGAAGTGGGTTTGTGGGTTCTTAAATTATGGATAAGCCTTTTTTTGAATCCAGTACATGCTACGGGCTTTGCCCCCTTCCCCCCCCACACACACACACACTGGCAATGCTCCTTGCAAAGAACAGATGTTAGTTTCTTAAGGAAGAAATGCATCATATCCTTTCAATTACATGGCACCCACTGATGTTTCCCTTACCTTTTTTCTCGATAAAGAAAGCATCCTAAGGGAGGTAAGGAGGTAGAGAAAGGAGCCTCTTTGTGAATCATTCAGTAGGTGGGGGGTGGAATGTCCTTTGCCGCTCCAGACAAATGAGTGAAAAAGACAGGGGATTTGCTTTGACGGTGATCAGAAATGACAGTGCCACCTAGACGGGCTAAAGTATTGCAGCTTCCTGGAAGCTTTTTCATGTAAGCAATGAAGTTCCGTGTTAGTACAGGAAACATAATCGGTTTTGGAGCCCGCTGCATAATTCTAACGGGAGCAGTAAAAGTGCATCTCTTCAGACTGCTGATGGCTTTGGGAAACCCAGAGATTTGATCACTTAAAAGAAGCCTTCCAGACGTTCGTTCGGAGCACTAAGGGGCGAGTCTGTGCATGTGACAAAACACTGACTACACCCGCAAATGGTTCAACTCATAACTTCCAGCCATTCAATCTACTATATTTTTCCCCCAACAACCCTCATTTTCAATTTTCCGATCCGTAACACACAGTTTTCCAAGGCTTTAAATATTCTAATCTTGGAATGATCACTTCCTTCCCCCTCCCCCCCCCACCTTACAGGATTCTTTTCTCTCTCTCTTTTTTTTTTTTTTTTTTTTTTTTTTTTTTGGCATTTTGCAAATCACAGGATTCCCCAAGTTTTCTTTTGAGGATGGATGATGAGTCCATAAGGAACCATGCTCGGAAAACGAGTGCCATTATTAGCTCAGGGTTTCTTTCTTCCATAGCCCAAGTCATATACTGAATATGTGCCTCTCAATTAGTAACAAGACTGCTATTAATCAAATGAATGCAGTGAACAACACATGAAGTGGAGTTCAACTGCAAAAGCTTTGTGTTAGCATACCCAAAGTGCTGGAAATGTTATTTTAAAGAGTATAGAATAGTATAACAGAGTTGGAAGGGACCTTGGAGGTCTTCTAGTCCAGCCCCCTGCTTAGGCAGGAAACCCTATACCACTTCAGAGAAATGGTTATCCAACATCTTAAAAACTTCCAGTGTTGGAGCATTCACAACTTCTGGAGGCAAGTTGTTCCACTGATTAATGGTTCTAACTGTCAGGAAATTTCTCCTTAGTTCTAAGTTGCTTCTCTCCTTGATTAGTTTCCACCCATTGCTTCTTGTCCTATCCTTGGGTGCTTTAGAGAATAGGTTGACTGCCCCTCTTCTTTGTGGCAGCCGCTGAGATATTGGAACACTGCTCTCATGTCTCCCCTAGTCCTTCTTTTCATTAAACTAGTCCAGGGGCCAGCAACATGCAGCCCTGGAGCCGCATGTGGCTCTTTCACCCCTCTGTTGCGGCTCCCTGTCACTCAAAACATGCATCACAACTGCCAATGTGCGACACCCACCGGCACACGATGTATTGAGCTTTTCAACACCCGATAGGCCAACCATGGATAAATCCAAGAAAAGAAAAGTTTCAGAAGAAAACAGAACATTTAATTCAACTACATATGCTAGTTTTGTGGCTGCTCAAGAAATAGAAAGGCAGGGGAAGGGTTTTGTGGCTCCCGGTGTTTTCTTTTCTGTGGGAAACAGGTCCAAATGGCTCTTTGAGTGTTTAAGGTTGCAGACCCCTGAACTAGACATATCCAGTTCCTGCAACCATTCTTCATAAAGTTTTAGCCTCCAGTGAGTCCCCTAATCATCTTCATTGCTCTTCTTTGTATGTTAGCATATTTAATTATGATTGCGTTAATATCCAACTTTTATTTTGTAGAACTCAAGGCAAGCATACATAATGTTTCCACCTCATTTTACCCACACACAAACACACACACCAAAAAGCCTCACTGAGGTGGGTTGGGTTGAGAGCAAGGGACTGGCCAAAGTCACCCATCCCGCTTTTCTGCTTAAGGAAGAGCTAGAACTCATGATCTGATAACATATCCAGCGTCTTATCCACCCCAGCTGCATTGTTTTAGCATTTGCTCCCTTAAAAGGAGAGAAAACTAAGCCTTTAGGTTTGTTTGTTTGTTTTTGCAACTGAGGAGATGTGGCTTTCAGAAGTAAAAAAAATAAAAAATAAAAATCAGCTGTGTATGATAATACAGTAAAACGATGATCATGGTTAAATTTTGACCGTGCTTAGAAAATCATTAACAACATTTCCATCTGTCAGTTACAAAAAGTCATCCTTGATCCACATATATGCTATGCTGATCAGTTACGACATCCTAGATTGCCAGTTTTTGGGCAGAAGAATGAAGAACTGGCAGCTGTGATTTTGCGGTTTTTTTGCATATTTATATTTAAGTTTCTAATCTTTGGTCAAAGAATACCTTCTCTCTAGATCCCTGAAGTGTGTCTTCTTTGTATCAGCATCTGCCCTCTGGATGAGGTGTCCCCCCTACCCCTTAGATCCAAAAGGTTGCCACCCTATGTATCAGTGGTAGGTTTCAAAATTTTTTACTACTGGTTCGGTGGGTGTGGCTTGGTGGGCATGGCAGTAGAAGGATACTGTAAAATTTCCATTCCCACCCCACTCCTGGTGAAGTTTATTGCAAAATCCCCATTTCCTCCTGCTCAGCTGGGATTCGGGAGGCAGAGAATAGATGGGAGTGGGGCCAGTCAGAATTTTTACTACCGGTTCTCCGAACTATTCAAAATTCCCGCTGCCGGTTCTCCAGAACTGGTCAGAACCTGCTAAAATCCACCTCTGCTATGTATGCTTTTTCAAGAGGCAACTGGACTTTCTGGTTTTTCTTTGAAGACATTTTGCTTCCCATCCAAGAAGCTTCTTCAAGCTGAATTGGAGAATCTCCATAGACAACTGTACGTATATTTCAAAGAGCCCTGAAGATGTAGCTCTTTTGCCCAGCCCTTTGGTAAGGATGATTGACACCCCTTTTCTTCTTTCTCTTTATTCCCATCTGGGTTTTTTTAATTCTGCCATCTTTGTTCTTTTGGGGGTCGTTTTCTTGCTTTTAAAAAAACCAAGTTTGCTCCTGCTGTTAAGGTGACATATAAGGTAAAGGTTCCCCTCGCATACATGTGCTAGTCGTTCCCGACTCTAGGGGGCGGTGCTCATCTCCATTTCAAAGCCGAAGAGCCAGCGCTGTCCGAAGACGTCTCCGTGGTCATGTGGCTGGCATAATTAAACCCCAAAGGCGCACGGAACGCTGTTACCTTCCCATCAAATAGGTGGTCCCTATTTTTCTACTTGCATTTTTTACGTGCTTTCGAACTGCTAGGTTGGCAGAAGCTGGGACATATACATTTGCTAAATAAATAAGCCTCCAAAAGCCTCAAGTTTCTTGCCCTGGGATGAGCCAGATTAAATGGGATGTGCAATGGAAATGAACGAATCGTCCCATCTTTGTTTACAAGGAAGATGTTGCTTACTAACCCCCTCTTTCTTATCCTCAGGAAAATGATTTGGATGGACTGTCCTTGCTAGTCCTTTTACCCACAGCAAAATGGGAGCCTGATTGGCTCCGAAAGACCAACTCAGCCTGCAGCTTTATTCAGTTTCATTAGCCTTGCTGCCCGAGCGAAACCCTCCGAGGCCAGCTCCTCCTTTTGCTCGGGTGCCCTGGCAAGGTAACTGCCTTTCCACGTAATTAACCAATATAAAAACATAACAGCCAAACAATCAAATGCAGGCAGTGTGCATCTTATTAATTAAATCACCAGGACAGGGACTGCTGGAGTAATTAACTGCTAAACAGCAGAAGGAGCTTCTGTTTAAGCAATTTGCATTTAAGCAGGAGAGTTGGAGGATGCTCAGCGTGGCCCAGCCCCATGGCAAGATGATGCCAGGCCTTGCCAAGCCTGCGTTGGGCCACAGTGGTCATGCAGGGTGAGGAGGATGGGAATTGTAATCCAACACAATGTGGATGTGACAGATAGATGTATTTTAAAGTAGAAAACGTCCTTTGTGTGAGAACTAATTTTGCTCCTGCTGTTGGTGTAATCAGATAATGCTATATTGCACCGAGTTGCCCTTCTTACAAAGGAGATGAATATTGTATAAAAGTGACCTGCAATAAAATCTACAACATACAGTAACTCCGTTTTTTTCAACCTTGATAACTTTAAGATGTTGTTTGCTGGCTGGGGAATTCTGGGAGTTTTAGTCCACTCTTCTTAAAGTTGTCAAGCTTGAGAAATACCGTAGGAACTGATAATAAGAGCCTAGCTATTTCCCCCTTCCCCAAGTGACTCCAACCCCATTTCTCATACATAGCAGCTGCATTCAGGCTTTATTTTAAATGCCATTTGTTAAAGAAACTAGGAACAAGGAAGTGCCGATCTTGCAAAAACAAGCAAAGTAATTGGGACCACGAAAAATATAACAATCCCGCTTTATTTTTTTTTTCAAACCACAACCAGAAATCGTGTATTTTGAATATTATTTTGAATTTGATTACTGTATTAGTTCCATATTTTAAGTCAATGGTGGAATTCTTTTTTTTTTTACTACCAGTTCTGTGGGCGTGGCTTGGTGGGCGTGGCAGGGGAAGGATACTGCAAAATCTCCATTCCCACCCCACTCTGGGGCCAGCCAGAGGTGGTATTTGCTGGTTCTCCGAACTACTCAAAATTTCCGCTACCAGTTCTCCAGAACCTGTCAGAACCTGCTGAATTTCACCCCTGTTTAAAGTCCCTTTGTAATGTGTATGTCTTATCAGGAAGGAAGGAAGGAAGGAAGGATCAGATAAGACTCTTGAGGATTTTGTCATCTAACCAGGGAGCCCCGTTTCGATACTGTTGTGAAAAAGAAGAAAAGGTTTGCCTCTAAGGCTAAACCAAAAACATACTAATACATTAGGGATTCCCTTTAGATTCTAAAACATTTCTGTGTCCAAAGCACCCATGGATTTGAATGCCAATAAAGTCTAATTCCACTATCCTTGATGGAACAAAAGATGTTTAGAAATGCAATGCTCTATTTCAGTTTCCAAGGTGAGCTACAGTTTTCACAAGATGTCCATGAACCCATGTGCTTGTCATGAACAATTCTAGTTTGGGGCAATTGTGGGGAACAGAACGAGACCTGGAGAAATGCAACCCTGGACACTTTTGCTGATCACTGCAATTTTGGTTGGGTTTCTTAGCTATATGTC